AATAAATAAACAAATAAATAAATTTTAAAAAAAGTCTATTTTATAAAGAAATGAGTATTTTGATGTCATTTAATGTTTTAAACTACTGTAGCCCAGAAGTGTAACTGGGTAACTGTCTGTTCTCTTATGTCCCTGTCACTTCTGCTCTTGCTTCCATCATTCATTTTATTTTTATTTCTTCTGGAGAAACATGCTTTTGATTTCTAACCCCTTACTATCTCACTGTTCTGACTCCTCACTGGGTCACTATATATACATGTATATATAACTGTATTTCAGCTAAATGTAGGTCACATACATGATCGTGATCCCTGTACGATTACACTGTCTGGTGCTTTTATAGCCATAAATATATTCAGTGATATTCGTACAGTGATGACATTGCATAATAATGTATTTTTTGTATTTTATATTTAAATTAAAATTATATATACATATATGTATACATTTGTATGTATACAAATGCAGAATCTGCCAAAAATGAATACATACTTCAGCAATTTGCCATACTAATAAATGTCTAGAAACCAATGGCTGATACTTTGAGCACCTCTTATAATTGTAGACACCGTAAGTAACTTACATTAATCTCATAATATCTCAATAAATTTAGTATTAAATTATTTATACTAATTTTTCTTCTGATGTAAAAAAATTTTGGTGGATTATATATATGTAAAAACAAGCATTTTCATACTGCTTAAGGTGGCTAGGATTTATGGCTTTGAATAAATAAGTGAATGGTTATATACTAGGTTAAAGCAAATACTAATTTTTTCCCCAGAAATTATATAGAACTTTAAATTGCATTCTCTATCTGAAGTATTTCCAATTACGAATTAAAACATAACCTGTTCAAAAAAAATCTAAAAGCAAAGAGGGAAGGACCTAATTTAAACCCTTTTGATTTTTCTTTGGGAAAGTCATTTCAAAATATCTAGTCCTATGTCTTTAGTTCTAAGAAATTGGGTTCTCCCTTATTCATTGTGATCTAAGGATTAATCATTAATCATGATTTTTATTTTTTTGAAAAGACCTTGAAATTTTTATTTCTTTTTCTTTTCTTTCATTTCTATTTCTTTTGCTTTACTTTGGTAAAAATGGCATTCATTCATTTGTTAAAATTAATGTACTAGGGCTCGGGAGATAGATAACTTGGTAGAATAAGCACTTGCCTGGCAAATGCAAGGTCCTGAGTTCAATCTCCAGTACCACAAAAAAAAAAAAAAAATTGTTGTATCATTTTCTGAAGTGATTATTTCTGACCTCAACATCAAGACCTATCTTAAATAGCATTTCTTTTCAACTGTATTAAATCTGTTTGGTCACTTCTGTAATTATTTTGACAGTAAGCCTAGAAGCCTAGGATTTGTCTTCAAAATTTTCTCTCAGTGGCACAGGCCTGTCATGTGAGCACCCTGAGGAGGCAGAGGCAGGTGGCTTACAAATTCTAGCCCAGCCTAAGCAATGTAGCAGTTTAGTGAAACCCAGTCTTAAAATTAAAAGTGGGCTGGAGGTACCACCCAGTACATACTGTCTATCACAGATAGTGTATCTGAATTATGTGAAAGTTCCACCAGAATGCAGTATTACACTTCACACAATCTTTCCTCTCTATTCCGTTTTGCACTGGTTTAGTCTTTATGGTTTCTTAAACTTTTGGTCACTGTTATTGATTTCAATATCAGTTTTCCATTTGTGAACAAAGTTTTTTAAAGACAAATTTGGCCATGTAGCACCTTGACTCAAACCCTGTGATTATCTTGCTTTGGTTTCCGTTACCTATTACATTTTATCTTTGCATGACAGTTGTCCACAGAACAATAGTGGC